TAGGCGAAACCAGTACTGCTCTAAACTAAATTCGACAAGATTCGAATATCGAGGTACTAATGATATAGGGTACAGGAAGTTCTAAGCACAGTTAGGTGAGGAAATATTGTTTTTATCATCATATCAAACTCAAAATTGTGCATGAAGCCAAAGTCCAAATTGCGATTTACAGAAGAAAACAGTCGACAATGAACTCAGTAGGTTAAAGAAGCCTGTATTTGGCGACAGCGGTTAACATTATTGCAAGGCCAGTCTTACGGGGTAGATTATATTGAGCATTTTTCTTCAAACGTGTTTTTTTTCCGTACCAATTCAATGGTTTTAAGAATGAAGACAGAACGGAGTGATACCTGTTAAGTTAATATATGGTGGTACTGTGATCTCTGCATCCCTCATCTGCAAATTTAAACGTACGAATTAGGTACTAAGTCACTTTCTTCCTCCGTCATAATCGTTCCTCCTCCCATTTAGAGGTTATGGCAAGGAGTGACCAAGACAGTCTGCTGTTAAAACGAGATTTTCAATGTAGTTGCTGTTTTGAGCTTATGGTTGAACCTACTACACTCAATTGTGGACACAGCTTTTGTCGGTTTTGCCTCGCAAAGTGGTGGAATGCATCAAGACACAACACATGTCCAGAGTGTCGAGAACCATGGTCAGGATGCCCTAAAGTTAATATTGTATTAAGGTAAGATGAAAAGTTTTATTTTGCAGAGCAGTGACTTTCACCCAGACAGCCTCATGTTTTGTGCACAATATCACTATAAATGCGAAACATTATATTAGATTCTGTTATTCTCCAACATTATAAAGAAGCTTTAGCAGTGTATACTTTAAATTTGCCAATTCTCAATTGATTTTAACTTTATTGGAAATTTTAAAACTTCAAATACAGATGAAGTCCTGTACAATATCCCATTGATATGCAAACTATTTTATTTTCTGGTATAAAAGCACCTGGTAACGTAACAGCCTTTGGTGGGAACTGCTAAATACAAATTTACAGGCAATATTCAGTAAATATTGCATTAATTAAGCTGTCATATCAATTAAAAAACTATTGTCAACTTTGGTTGGTCTTGTGTCCTATATGTGGGTGTGGCCTATACAAGAGTAAATACAGTATACTTTCCAGATGAAGTTGTTGAAATGACAATATTTCTGGTTGAAATCTAGTCCTTTTCAGGAGGAATTTTAATTGACTTTGTGGTCACCCCTCGGAGCGAAAGGGTTAGCATTCAAGACAGAAATTTCAAAATAAGTGCTGAACTTTGTACATCATGTAAATTATGAGGAACAAATGTGAAGTTATAACTGTACAGAAATAACATAAAAACCTACAGCAGGCTACATCTTGCATGGACTGATCTTTTAATATTACTTGTGTTTTGTACAGATGTGGTGTGATGTAATACCTTTGACATTGTAATGAATATTCTTTTCTTCTTTGAATGGGTTTCTGATAGAAGAACTATCCAAGTACTCTTTTCAAAGGAAGAGGCAGAACGAAAACGTTTCCAGAAGTCTTCCCCAGACTTTGGATCAGTATTGTCCAAGTTTGATGCTCTGGAAAGTAAATCCTCACAAAGATTTGCCAGCAGTCATGAAGTACAATTTGCTCAAGGTCAACATGTGGGGATTACCTGCATAAAGCTTATATTTATTGTTCTGTCTGTCCTTGGGATTGTCATGGTAAGTTACCCAAGAGGTCTTGTATTTGAAATGTTGTGTAACATGCTGTTATCTAACAAATGATTATCTTATTGTTTGCTGTCATTATTGTAAAGCTCTCAAAAAGCTGTCTTTCTAAGTTATCTGATACGTTTAATTTTATCATGTCTTAAACAACACAAAACTAAAGCATTAAATGGTTGTTCTGGTGGTAATTTTTTCCTTGGCTTGAAATTTTTTTGAAACAATTTGATCATATTTTCCTATTTTCTTCTGATTATGCAGAAATCAGAGAAAAATGATGATCAAGCTGGTTTGAAAAAATTTCATCAATTGATTAATTTGGAATTTTTTTTGGTACCACAGTAAAGATAACCGCCGCCAAAAATAAAGACTCACAACGGGTTTTTGTTGTGACTGGATGTAATGGTTTCATTCAATCTACAAGGGATTCCAGCAATTTAATTTAAGTGATTGGGTTGCTCCCAATGTTCTGTTACTAGTATTTCTCAAGAATGTTAAGTTGTAAAGCTAGTCAAACTGCCCCCGGCCCTTTCTTTTCTTAATTGAAGATATTTGACCTATGCATTGTAATATATGGAAACTTAATTTACTAGTGACTTAAACTGCCTTATAGTCTTTCAGAAAAGAAACAAAATACATGTTACAGTAATGAAACTAAACTAGTGAGCAGCAGTGCATGAACTCAAATAGCAGAAACATTTTATTCTCCTATGCTTGTTGTTGTTTAGCATACTTTGTCAGGAATTTTTTTCAGTTACAAAAATGTATTTGCTTGAATACATATAGAAAATACAATGTCTATTTTTTTACCTTTATGCATTGCATGAGGCAAGTAGAAAATAATTGCAAGTATGACAAAGGTGTTGTACATGTGTGACATTTTTTGTATGTAGATGATATATTTGGGGGACCCAGTTAAACACAAGCTGTTGTCATTAGCTGATTTATTGGGTTAAATTAGCGTGCATGAACATTAGAGGCTGAAGGCATCACTCATTGAAACACCATATATTATGTTTAGTAGACCAGAATAATTGTTTGGTTTTTGAAGAATGTAAACGAGTTAAGAATCTTTCTTCCCTTTCAACTCCAATGTATTCAATACAATGCATAACACTCTGTTTGGAATATAGCAACAAGTTCTAAATATTCGAAGCGTTTATGCTGAAGGTACTGTTCCAGGTTGTGAGCAAGTGAAAATGTCTAAGTGTTGCCAAGATTACCCTGCAACACCTTGATAAGCAGGAAACTCAATATAATGCCAGTTCTCAGCCTGTAGGGGTAATAATACAACTTTTTAACACCTTTTTTCTTTTTTGACAGAGTTTAAGTGGACTGAATGGAATTTGTACAATATATGATACAAATGTTGTGAAGTGATTGTTTTTTAAATAGGGTGACAGTCAATCTATTTTTTTTGTTGTTGTTGTTGATTGTAGTTTATATATCATGTACTGAGCTTGTTCATGGGCCAAAGAGATCCTCTTGTTAGAAAACCAGTGGTTAAATGGAGTACACAGGATGTGGCTAAATGGTTGGAAAGCTTAGGTGATTGGGCAAAAGGATATAGTGACAGATTCCAAGATGCAGGAATTGATGGAAACCTTCTATTGTCCTTGTCTGAATATGACTTGGAGACTCCACCTCTTAATGTTGTAGTTTCCTATCATAGGCGGGTACTCTTAAAGGAACTTGAAGCACTAAAAGCCCTGGGAGTAAAGCGGCCATCAGATCTGTGGGAGTACAAGGTACACAAACTAAGAGGCAGTACTAAAGATAATGAAACTGATAATTTCCCCCCTCCTACTATGATATATTGAAAATCTGAGTAAATGTAGATTATCTATATTTTTATGCGAAAGAATCTTTTGAAAGAACAATACCCAGTGTTTATGTGGCTGATATGTTGGCTGATAATGTCCATAGCAGAGGTATTGTTGGAAAAATGAATATATGGTGAGAAGTGAAACATCAAAGGCGAATGTAAAATTTGAGGACATGCAATCTCTCAGCCAAGGTCATTATCAACTAACACACTAGAGAGCCAGAAGGGGGTTTATTTAATTGATACATCTTTTCATATTGCATGTTGCTTTTACAAGTTTGGTGGCTCCTACAAGAACTGTTTCTGTTCATAAGCATAAGCTTATACTTTGTGTTTGAGCAACATTAAACCGTCTTTGTTAAGAAAGATTTACCTTAGTTGAAGGTCATGTTTGTTTTCGTTGAGCAGCTAAATGTTGCATGGAAAGGAATTGTACTGAAAAAAATTTAGCCAAGTTGAACTTATCTCACTATTTTTTACTTGCACAGGGAACTGTGAAGGGTTATTTTGAAAGAGTGTGGATGTTCAACAGAGGAACAAATCATCGAAACAAATAATGAAATGAACTTTGCAACAATGAACTGAAAAAAGAATTTTTGAAGTGAATAGAGATCTCAACTTTTCAACACCCAACTTAAACTTTTTTTTCTAGGCATGCACAGTAAACCAGGTTTCACAGTCAGTGAAGCAGTGGAGTAAATTCCACTTCACCAGAAGTGAATCTTAAAAGCTCCTACAAAATTTTAATCAAACCAGAGAATGTAGATATGTACTCTAAGTGTAAAACAAGAATAAGATCTTGTCTGAACTTGGATGTCTGGCCTCAGACCATTTTTCCTTATAAAATTGATTTTGTTTACTTCTAGACTGCTTATCCTGTGCGGGCAATACTTCTTTTGTGGGGTTTACGAGAGTTTCCAAGGTTGACAGTCTTTTACGCATTCTTTGCTTGTAACCAAGATGTTTTTCAACCTCTGCTATTTTATACAAGTGAAACTACTATTGAAGGAAGTATATTTGAGGTGAGGGTTTGAAAACATGACAAATAACCTGCATGCATATTTCCCATGTCTTAGTAACAAGAAACTTTTCAAACATAATTGTGTTACGTTATCTTTTGTGTGTAGTTAATTTTATTTTGCCAAAGCAGTCATCACAAATAACTAATATTCAGTCACTGATGTACTCATGTTTAGTTAGAGAAGGTCATAGCTACAGTTTTTAAGTGATTTAAAAACAAAAGCAGACATAGTAATGTAAATGACCATTCAGAACAAAGGAAGGCCTAACAAGAAAACAATGAGAACTTGAGAAAAAATCTTGATGTAGCCATGGCTCGAATCTTATACCTCAAATTCTCAAACCTCTCTCAAAACACTCTCACAAGTGAGTTTTTCTCTGAACATATGTAACATATCCTCTGAAAAAGAATGTAAATCAATGAGAACAAAAAAGAAAAAGAAAAGAAAAACAAAGGCAAAAAAAAATTGATGTGGCTATGGCTCAAACCTTATAGCTTTAGACATGACAGAAGTAGCTGTATCCATTGCGCTAGATACAGAGTGTATAGGAGTGGCAAAGTTTTGTCTAAAAATACCTTTCAGACACATTTAATGCATGTATCCATTCTATAAATTTCTTGTCTTGTCCCAGGCATGTCAATTGACCAGTGTACAAAACCCTATTCTAACCAAGTCCTCCTTAGGTCACAATTTTGGCTTAGTCAAAAGCTGTCAATAACCCCTCTGCATTTTACACCACATTTCTTTTTTACTGCAATACTCTACAAGTACAAAGTAATATAGGCATAATATCCATCGGCCGTCTATGCTTCAAAGAAGTTGAAAGAAAGGAAAATACTGGGGAAAAATAGCAAAATGGCAATAGATTTAACAAGTTTAGGTGGCAGGTATCAATCTAGGCAAAGCAACAACAATAACGACAACAACAAAATTTTATTTAAGCTTAAGATGAAAAATTACAATGCTTGGGCCCGCAAGTAGCTAGGGTTATTTGAGGCGGGCACAAGAGAGGAAAATAAAAAAAAAAAAAGAAATCTAGTTTGCTGTGTGGCTTAAATATAGAAAGAATGAAACAGGAGGGCAGACTGTAGTATAAACTGGAAGTACACACAGTTATAATTTTGAGAATTGTACTCTATAATGAAATGTTTTGGGAGTAAAAAGGGAGATCTTTTGAGTGAGATTCAATGTCTTTCCTTTTGGAATGTTTAACATATTTGTGCCCTTATTGCCAATTTATTAAAAAAAAATTTACAGGACCAATTCTAAAGAAGAGGCAGAGCACAAATTTTGCGAGCATTGTCCTTTGTAACCCCTATTTGTTTTTCTTAATTTAAAATGATCATCAGTACAAATTTCAGATGTGGTGAAAACTGTGAAAGAATTCACTTTAGCAAACTGGAGAAAATCAAATCAAAGCCAACTAACCACTATCAAGCACCTTTCTTTATGGGGGTTTAGTTCAAGAATAAAAACGGTTGTGTTATGTTAACTACAGTAAAAACAGGTGGACCTTTGTGAGCTACATCTTGGTACCTTTTAGTGATCTTAAAAGCAGAAAAAAGAAAATTGTCCATGAAAACATAACACTGGGGTGCACATCATAATCAGGCTAAAACTCTATGGAGCCACCTTAAGCATGCACCTAATTAGTTGATCAGTAAACTGTAAGTGGGATCTGCTATGGCAAGCCAATTGTAGCAATATTCAATACTAAAATTCAATGAAATTCAATTTCAATTCAATGGAATTCAATTTCAATTCAATGAAATTCAATTACAATTCAATTTCAATTCAATGAAATTCAATTTCAATTCAATGAAACTTCAATTTCAATTCAATGACACTTCAAGTTCAATTCAATGAAGTTCAAGTTCAATTCAATGAAAATTCAAGTTCAATTCAATGAAAAAAAGTACATTCAAAATTGCTTCCGCTTAGTGACCGGAAATGATAACTAGCATACGGAAACTTTCAGGCTTTTTTTTTTTTGTGCGGTAAGTTTTAACTAGCATCATGGCGGACTTAGAGCCAGAATTTGATGTGAAAAAAGACTTACCTCAATTTTTATCCTCAGTGCTCAAAAGAACAGAGCATTGTATACATAAAAATGAAACAGATATCAATGACTTGCAAGCACAATCTGTAGTTCTCGATCGAACCGTTGGTCTTTTGAGTTCTATTGCCTTAACTAACATTGAGCAAGATCGGATTGTGAGTGGGAATCTCTAGGTACTGCTTTTGCAGAAGTACTACGGGCTATTGAAAATTATCTCAAAACTCTAGCAGTACAACCTTCATCAATTTCTCGACGTAAATGTAAAATTCTCAGAATGGGATATCCTGGGAGTGATAAAACAGGTCGTCACCGATTAACAACTGGATGAACATACCAAGCCGGCTTAAGTCACTTGGACTGAGGATTCAAATAAGAAGAATTTGTGAGTTTTTAGCAAGGGTCGATCCAGCGAATACTGCCTTGAGGTGGGGAATTGTTGTTTCTCGTAGGCAATACTTCGTCCCATGGCCAAATTCTCTGCGGCATTTAGATGGTCATCATTCTCTCATTCGCTGGGGTTTTGTAATCTACGGATGCACAGTTTCCCTAGAAGAGTTGTGTTTCTCAGATGTAGTAATAACAATCTTTCACAAACTGTTCTGGAACTCTTTCCGAAAGCAATTGAAAAAGACGGGTTGTGGCCATCACGTATTCGTGTGGATTATGGTGTGAAAAATGTAATAGTTTATGATGCCAAGGTGGAAGCAAGAGGGGAAGGTAGAGGGAGTTTCATTGCCAGTCCCTCCACGAGAAATCAGAGAATTAAAAGACTCTGGAGGGACGTCTTCAGATGTGTGTGTCATCTTTTCTATTACGTGTTTTATGCAATGGAGGATATCAGGCCAGCTTAGCATTGATAATGCAACGGATATATTTGCCCTACATTTGACATTACTCCCAAGAGTAAATCTTGGGGTTCACGAATATAGGGAGGCCTTCAATCTTCACAAGGGAAGGACAGCAAACCATTGGTCCCCATATCAGATGTGGGTCAATGGCATGTTAAATGAAGACAACCCCTTGGTACATGGGCAATTGGAGGTGGATCCTGATGATCTGGAGTTCTGTGGTGTTGACCCAGCTGGGCCATCTCCATTTGAAGATAGCAACAATAATGTTGGTGTTCCTCCCATGACATTACCAGTTGAACATCAGTCAGTTCAAGCCAGGGTTCTCAAGTGGATCGATCCACTCATGTCATTCATGCAAATGGGCAGAGATATCTACACTAACATTCACCAGATAATAAAAGAGAGTGTTGAAAACAGTTAAGAACACTATACCTTTTTGGTAAATCATGTGTCCAGGTTCAATTGCTATGTAAGATGTGTAGGTAGTAAAGTTAACAATTGAGTGTCATTATTAATCAAATGCAAAAAGAACAGGCAACAGGGTGTGATATGGCTACCTAATTGCCAAAGAAAATCAGTATTCCACCAGAATCAAAAATGACTAACTTTAACTTTAACTTTATGTCAGGTACCTTAAAACAGAAACTCGTACTTAAGCAGCTGTCTATATTTGATAGCATAGGTATGATCCTCACATTTGAACAGATAGAATGCTACAATCAAGAGGTGAAAGTTCTTGTGTCTAACAACAAATTAAAAAGTATTTTTGTTGAGGATTTTCTTTTTGAGTCTACTAACAGACATAGATAGCTAATTCACAAATGAAACACAACTTATGTTGTCCCCCATTTTCTAGAAACCATGCCACAACTTTGTAATTAATTTTTTTTACTGAGGAATTCATTCTTTCCCATGAATTGTTATGAGTGCAATGACTGTATGAGCATTGGCACCATGAACATTGGTACCTGAAAATACTTTTAGCGGACTGTAAAACATCATAATTCTTAAAATCCCATTTAAATCAACTGTTGAACTATTATTAGTGACAAATCCTTGTGCAGGACAATTATAAGGCACCACTAAACATGTCCTTTCTATAGTGCAAGTGGTCCAGAGAAAGCAATTTTTGCAACTCAACATGTTCTAACATACATTTCAAATATAAATTTAAACATCTTATACAATCTCAGCTGGAAATACAAGAATTTAGGCCCAGTCTTTAAAGTCCATTGTTGACATGATACCCAAGATATTGGCCGAGCCCAGCAAAACATAACCCTTTTAAATGTTGCACCGCTAGCCCACCCCCTCAACTATGTGCTATAGGGTAAAAACATTCGAAAGTGACGTTTCATCTTTTGTTTCACTTGTAAACACTAACCAAAGCAATGAGCTAGATATCATTGTATTTACAACTTAATAGATATGATGTGCGCTACCATAAATTATCCAATGAGACACACCAAACCACCAAGAATTTTTTTACAATGAAAATCCAAGTCCGAGAAGATCTTCCAATGTGTCAGGAGATATATAGAACTGTGGTCTCCCAGGGTTTCCTGTTCTGAGAATTTTACATTTACGTCGAGAAATTGATGAAGGTTGTACTGCTAGAGTTTTGAGATGATTTTCAATAGCCCGTAGTACTTCTGCAAAAGCAGTACCTAGAGATTCCCACTCACGATCCGATCTTGCTCAATGTCAGTTAAGGCAATAGAACTCAAAAGACCAACGGTTCGATCGAGAACTACAGATTGTGCTTGCAAGTCATTGATATCCATTTCATTTTTATGTATACACTGCTCTGTTCTTTTGAGCACTGATGATAAAAATTGAGGTAAGTCTTTTTTCATGTCAAATTCTGGCTCTACTTCCGCCATGATGCTAGTTAAAACTTACCGCACAAAAACAARAAGCCTGAAAGTTTCCGTATGCTAGTTATCATTTCCGGTCACTAAGAGGAAGCAATTTTGAATGTACTTTTTTTCACTGAATTGAACTTGAATTTTCATTGAATTGAACTTGAACTTCATTGAATTGAACTTGAAGTCTCATTGAATTGAAATTAAATTTCATTGAATTGAAATTGAATGTCTTTGAATTGAAATTGAATTTTAGTTTTGAATATTGCTACAATTAGCTTTCCATAATATGCCCCTAAAGTGCACCTAACCCCTAAATTTTTTTTTGTTTAAAAAAATCTTCATGCTTTGCTGAGTATCCATCTCTTGAAAAAAATTTTTGGATTTGGTCAAATCCTTGAATATTTGTGCCCCGTTTACGTACGGAAAATTGCATTAAAATCACCGCCATTTTGACTTGCAACCATGTTTCAAGGATCAAGATTCTGGCGACTAATGTGATGTCACTTCAAGAACCCAACAATCTGTATTTCATTCCATTTTGCACAGTTCACTGGTTATGTTTGGAAGGTTAGATCGATATTGGTCGCAAATATGCTGCAGAAGGATTCTAGTGCTAGAAAGGCTTTCACAGGTCGATGACTGGCTGAGAATTCTTTGAGCGTCTTCTCGAAGTGACGTCATAAGTCTACTCTGCCCAGATCCCCATTTACGCGGTCGTGGTCCATTCGGATCTCGACTTCAACAGGGCATAAAAAAACGAGGGTTTAACCAAATCCAACAATTTTTTCAAAGAAATACTCACCAAAGCAAAAAGATTTTTTAAGTGCACTTTAAATAGTTTTATAATGTGTCATTAGCTGCTCATGAAAAAGAAGATGATTTAGGAAGTGGATTCTTTCATTTTTTGTCATTACTGTTTCCTTACTTTTTGAAACAGTTCTCTTTTTGTGAACTAACTGAAACATTCTGTGTTTTCAGGTGACAGCCATTCCTTCTAAAGAGTATTTCCAATTTTTTTTGCGTCTTGTTTTGGTTCCCTATTACCTTATTGGAAAATTCACTTTGAGGTGGATCTATCTTAATTACTTTGTTGGAGCTGTTGTCCTCATCTACTGTATTCTTATGAGCCTTGTTGAGTTTTCAAAGCTGAGATGGCTGTTCATGATGGGGGGATGGAGGTAAGTTTTGCCATTTAGTTCGTGCAGGGAATGAGAGGTACTAAACTTATCCCAGCCAAAGTTATTAGATTATGGCTTTTAAGGGGGGGGGGGGACCTCAGAGTTGCTGTACCATTGTTTACATAGGGAAGATCCTTGCATAGTGATCTACTTCTATTGCATAAAGCTTTGCTAGGTATTAAAAAGATGGGATAAAACTAGGAAATAAGCTTAATGGCTACTAATGACCTTTAAAGTCAGTGGGGGTAAGATTTGAGATTACTTTTGGTTGATTTCTAAAGTGAGATGGCACTGGTATTTATAGAATATCTAATCATGTTGCTCTCAACCATGGACTTTTAAGATTTACTTACTAATTATGTCACCAGGAATGGCTGAATTTATTTTCATTTTCACAGGCGACTACCAGGATTGTTAATTGGAATCTTAACTACAGCTTCTGTTAATGGATTGTTTCATCTCGCTCTGTGGAGTTTTCTTCCATCATTCATTTGTGACTTAGCATTTTACTGGATGCTATTCTTGGCACCATACGCTGCCTGGCATAGCTTTAAAGTGGGCTTGGCTGATGGTGAAGTTCACTTTCATCCTGCAAGAGACTTCTTTTTATGGATTTGGAGAATGCTTCGTCAGTTGAGGACAGGACAACACTTCTGATCCATATTTAGAAAGAACTAACATATCTGTTGGAAAGTTTTATAGATCTTTAGTTCACTTTCTATTTTAGCTACTAGTTCCTGTCAGTTAGCTTTGATGTGTTCTTCATATCTCTGGAAAATGTCTGCATACGCGACCTCCATTTAATGGAGCGACTACACATGGATCATAAGGAAAACTCAGCATCTATAACTGGCGTGGAAAACAACTACCATCTTTTCATCAAAGCTAATTGCTGTCATATTGCCACCTAAGGACAATTTCTAAATCCACTGGAAATGTTCTTCATTTTCTCAAACTGTTCGTCAAAAGGTGGCTCATTACTACTAAACTTTGCTTCTGTCCAGTGAAAGTGCATTCCAAAACATATCAAACTCTGCCAAATCACTTTATCCAAATGTTGATTTTTGTGGGCAACATTAAATTAGTAGCTGACTTTGGAGATAATTTTTTTTTTCGCTTTTATTCCTCAACACTCAACTTGTTTCAACTCCATCCAAAAAATTGTAATGAGCTAAGAGTTTCCTTTGTGTGCTCCCCTCCTTCCTACAATCTCATAGAAATTAATGGCTCTAAGGTTAGTGCCGTTAGTGTCGTGAAATTACTGAGTGTGTATTTTCAAGACAACCTCAAGTGGAACACTCGCGTTACTGAGGCGATTAAAAAGGCCGTTAAGCGCCTTTACTTTTTAACTCAGTTAAAGTGAGCTAAGGTACCATCACCAGAATTAGCAAATTTTTATGTTGCTTGTATTCAATCTGTCTTACTTTATGGATGTCAGGTCTACCATTACAGTCTCCCCAATTATTTGAGCTTAAGTTTAGAGCATGTCCAAAAGAGAGCCTTGAAAATTATATACGGTTATGGTAATTATTATAGAGAAGTACTTCAGATGGGAGAGCTGAAAACCCTAAGGGATCGGAGAGAAGACCTTTGCTTAAAATTCTTTAACAACACCGTCTCCAATCCCTTGGATTGTTTATACCACTTACTGCCTTTCAATAACCGAGATCAACTTATGGAGTTACGACGACGCAGACCATTTAGAGTTTCCTTTAAAACAAATTGGTTCAGAGATACTTTCATTCCAGCAAGCGCAAGACATTTTAACTAACATTTATTACAATTGTATATGTAAATTAGTTCCCTTTTAGGTTTGATTTTATTTTATAGTTCTCTTACATAATTTGTACACCTTTGCAATTCAGTTTCCAGCTGCTATTAAGGTATTAAAAGTCTATCAATCTATCTGTCATACAAAGAATTCTCAAGGTCCATGGGCCATTAAAAATTGCAGCATATGGTAGACTTTATAAATCGTCAGCCCCAATACTTTTTCTTCAAGTCTTAGATGTGTAGAAGTAATTCTCTGCTATGATACTTAACACAATTTAGGGACTAATTCAACCTTTTAATTACAGACTAATTGTCTTTAAGATGATAATGAAAGACTGGCAAGTTTCATCTTTGTTGATAAAGTTTTGTCCTAATGCATTCAGCGTCTAATCAGGATTTGTAAATTTGTAACAATATGCAAAGCTTCAGAGAATAATTTTTCATCAAGAGGAATTTGTACCAGGATCCTCATTTTAAATGCAAGTGGGTTGTTTGAAAGGCGATCTCCTTCTATACCAACACAAGCTGGTCAATCCATTGTCATAACTAAAATGCAGAATACCAGTCACTAAAAGTTTCTGTTATTGCATGGTAAATGTTTCTGTCACAAACTGCTTAAATCAAGTGAAATCGGTAAAATAACGACACCAGGAGCAAACAACACACGTATGGAAGAAGGTAAGCCATTTTTATTTAATATTTTCACTTTTAACTATCTCTGTGGATATCTTTTAGAAAATCCCATACTAATCCTTATAAATGTGCAAATTGTGTTCCTTGTGTGGTTCTCAAGGAGAGCTTGGGCCGCCTGTGCTTGAAGATGAAAACCTGAGCCATTATATGTTATGGAGGTCGTAAAAGTTGTCTCGCTCGGCGAAAGAATGAGACACATTATACTTGCAATGGCAAGCGCCTATATTTTTGAGAAAAGGTAATGTATTTTGCCCTGGTTTACTGCCATGTTTTGAATGAACCCGAAGTGTTCGACGAACGCTTCCGAAGGTTACGAAGATTGGGAATGACGTCACGTCATTCTGAAATATGGAAATAAGTGCTAACCCTCTAGAGCGCATAGTAAAGCAATGGCTGCCTTCGTGGACTGATGTTCGCGAAAGAAATTCGATGGCAATTACGCTCAGTATACATAGAAAGTCACACATTGTTATCAGTAGACCCACACTAAAAATTGTGGAGCGTTTTGGGAACGGGTCGGTCTGCGAACTTTAGGAGAGATCAATTTACGAGTGAACCTTCTATCGAGAAATATCAAGCGAAACCTGCTATATCAAACGAGCTATCTCATATCATGTTTACATGTAAACACAACCGTGTATTTAGACGTGATAGAGAACCTAGTAGAATACAAGAAGCTGCTCTTAAACGTCTCATAAGAAAGGGGAGAAGGAATTTGTTTATGAGCGTATTCGTCCAAGCCTACCGAATTCCTCCACAAGGGGCCCAGACAAGCGACGAGTCTGGTTGTTCATTCGAAATATAAAGGAATGTATGGGAGATTATTGAAGAGTCTTATTTTAGTAAACTTATATCATGAAATGTCTGAGTTAAAGCTCAAAATAAATGTAAACCTACCTCACTAGCTGTGTATTGTCGTTTCTGTGACTCCAAGTGGCGAATTTCAGCGATTTGGTGGGTTTTGCGTCGACTCGACGCTAAACCCACCAAAATGTATATAATGTTTAATGTATATCTTTGTGTATTCTGAATGTGTATTAAATGTTCTTGAGGCGCTAGAGTAGAAACTATTCTGGAACGTAACAGTATTAGCTTTAGGTATATCCAACAAAATACTGTTTAAATAGCGTAGTACATTATTTTCAGAGTATGCCCAACGATATATTTGAGTTGAAAGGGGTTAAAATTGATAAAGTTCAACATAGTGCCCATTTTCAGTCATGCCTGTGAAACCAGAAAGTTCAGTGTGAATTGTGCTGTGGCTGTCTATTCGCTCTGCTACTCCGTAATAAAATCATGTAGTTATTGGAATTCAAACACCTTATCTAATGTTATACAGTATGGCAAAAGATTATGGAAATTCATCTTCGAACAAGTATTTACTGTCAGATGATTTGCCAAAAACTGATGTTTGTCGAACTGAAGTTTAGATCTTGAAAGGGATTATAGTGAAGGAATATTGTCTGATTCAGTTGACAGAAAATCAATTCTCAAAAATCTTGTAAGAAATAATAGTTGAATGCACAGGGTTTTTGATGTGGTTTTCAGATTTTTGTATGACATTTACTTTGAAACCCACAAAAAGGTCAAAATATGTGTATTCCCTCTTGGTAGGTAATGAAAGTCGAATGTCTTTAATTGAACACACTAAAACTGTAAATAGCACCGCTTCTCTTGTTGTGGCCATCAGCAGTATTAAATATTTAAGAGATTTTTCTATTAAAAACAATGTGAGCTATTGAACAGTAATATTGCCTCAATCTACTGATTCCTGACAACTCCTTGGGTGAACGTTTGGCAACAAACTTTGACTTGGTACCAATAAAAGATAAAAAAATTCCCTTCTCCTTGCAGTTAAAGACAAGTACATTACCTACTCAGGGTTTGTAAAAGCTTTGAAAGTCCTTGAAGATGCTTGAATTTAAAAATTAAAAACTCAAGGCCTAGAAAGTACTTAAATTTGAGGACTAAGGCTTGATTGTTGCAATACTTTTTCTTTAGCAGTTTTCAAGTTGAAACTTACAGTACTTTCATGGAAAACCTGAGAGATAATATTAAATGATTTTAAAATTGCTTATGCAAACCTTTCCAAAAGTGGTCCTTCAATTTTCTAAAACTTGGCCTTTAAAGTCATTGAAAAGTCCTTGAATTTCAACCTTTGGCATCTACAGGAACTTACTCCTATATGGTAATATATTATTTTGATTGTTGTCTAGTACCATAACAACATTCATTACACTCCAGCAGACAAAAATAAACACAAGTAGACTTATTCGTGACCGGCAATGATGAAATTTCGTGACGACAGTAACGATGGAAATATGGCAGTCCCCTAAAGATAACTCCAAATATGCGATATTGAAAGCCCGAGTTCACGCAGATATGCGTCTAGTATTTATTTAAAGTTTGATAGTGCGCGACTCATGACGTCAGGTGTGGCTTTTACACCGGGGATCAGCCAAATATCGGAACTTTAGCTCCTCGAATAGAACGCGTCCAACCGCATTCAAGAGGGCACACTCACAACGTGTTCCTAAATTCTCGAAAACTTATCGCAGAACTTGTCCCATTCCATTCAATTTCAGACCCAAAATCTCGAAAATTTTGGTCAAATGGAAAGCACCCCTTATTACATCTGGTGACTTAATTTTTCAGAAACATCTCCACACGCACACACACACAAAATTGCCACTGATGACACCTGTTGCTTCAGAAGGAAGTGCAGATTATCAACAGTACCAGATTTATACTTTGAAAGTCGATAATCACACTTAGATTATTTTGTGCTGTGGAAGGACTCTTTTAATTACTAAAAGTGTCAATGAGTAGGAAGGCTAATAATGACACCGCATAGGCGCAATCACGTTAATTTTGCTTCCCGCTAATGACATTGTGAAGTTAATTCCAAATTTCCTGCAAATATTCTCAACGTTTCTGTCAGATGCTGAGAGATATTCTTTCAATCTCGTTGGCTGGGATGTTTGAATCTGCTTCATCTCCACAAAATCGGAAAACAACATCAGCGTTGTGCGGTATTTTCAAGGTGGCACAATAGGAGTTCCATAATAATCCGCTTCCACCCCGCTCTATCAAGGATATATAGACTTGTGGACTGTAGCCAAACAAAGCCCATGCCATGCCCAACACGCGACTTCTCTGATGCGAAAACACCAGCGCTTCACACTTCCTCCGATCGAGAGAAACTCCCGTACATTCTTTTAAATCCCCGCACAGCTGTCTTCCTCCGTTCAAATGAATTACATCCCAAGTTCCTGTCGTGGAAAGAACATTTCTGATCTGATTTATTTGTGAATAGGACAGTTTTCCTGAAATCCAGGACGGAACAACTGATTCTGACAAACTTTGCAAGAAGCTTCGACTAAAGCTTTTAACGAATTTGTCATGATCATCACTCGGTTTAATTACAGCGCTATCGTTTGCTATGTGTTCATCTAGCTCAGCGTTTGCGTTACAGAAAACGACTCGACTGTGTAACAGATTCTCTGCAACATAGACCTCTTTTCTACTTAAATAATCTCGCAGAAGACGAGCCTTGTGTTCAGTCTCGATAGCACTATTGTTGTGTTCAATGTGGTTGGTAGCAAAGGAGTTCGTCGCGATCTGCTTCGTTCTCGTTTGGATCCATTTTGAGCCGTCTTCACTTCTCGTTATAGTGCCCGACCAATATTTCACCTCGATGCAAAATATTCCATCTGTAGTGAGAACCACTACATCGATTTCTCGTTTCCGTGCTTGATATCTATCTGGAATCCTTAAACAGCAAAACAAATTTGATTTGTCAAGCCCGCTCTTCAAACGCAGAGCAGACACAAATGAAAGTTCGGCGTTGCGACCAGCTCTCACGTGCTCCTCTTCCAAATGTTCGTGTGGATTTGCCGCTTGGTTGGCTTGTTCTAAGCGCTTTGATACTTCAAACATGTTTCCATACCACCAGAACCTAAAAGTTTTCCCTCTAAACGAAAGAAAGCGTGTCTCTTTTTTAAATCTTGTGTAATCAGTATTAATCAAAAACTTTTTCCAAAGCATAATGACGCAACGCAATGTTTATGATAGGCTTGCGAAGCACTCTGGGAATTTATCTCGGATCCAGCTTCTGTCGAACATTGATTAGTCTCCCTCGCAGCCGTTTTTAGTCTCGTCACGCAACGCTTCTCCCCACAAACGGCTGCTCACATTCGAACAACATTCCTTTCCGCTACTTCAACCAATCACTATTTGGGTTACATATGTTGAGAACTGTACGCGCCAAAGTAGTCTAACCAATCATATTGTTTGTTTCATCTTCGAGTTCAAAGCTTTGAAAATGGCGTCCTTTGAAGAAGCGTTTAATGTTGTTAGTAATACATTTCGAATTCCTAGTTTAAATGCGCAGCAAAAAACTGGAATTAGGAAAATAGTTGAGGAAAGAAAGGATGTATTTGTCAATCTTCCTACTGGTTTCGGGAAATCTCTCCTGTATGAAGCACTACCACTCGTGTTTGATCTTACCTCACAAGAGCCTGGTCATATCGTCGTCGTTTTCTCACCATTGGGGAAAGCCTTATGAACGACCAAGTGTCCCATTTGAGGGAGCTAGGGCTAAAAGCTGGTAACATAAGTTCACTTGAGGGTGGTAAACGCACTCGTGTCGAAAGCGGCGAATATTCCTTAGTTTACGGATCCCCTGAAGCGTGGTTAAGGAACGAACGCTGGAGATTTATGCTGACGAACTCTGTGTATTCCATGCCAAAAAACTCTGTGCCATTGCCGTCGATGAAGCGCATGTTGTAAGGCAGTGGTAAGTGTTTCAATAAAAACGAGTCTGCAGCAAAATGTTATTTTACATGTATGTTTTAAATTAAGCAGTATAAAGGAAAGGACAATAAGAATGTAAATATTGTAAATAGAAAATGTAAATAGTTTAGTCAGTATTAGTATTACACTGTGGTCTTATTTTGGTTATCGTTATTTTATTCTGTCTGTGTTATATTACACATGATCACCTGTAAAAATATTGTGTCTAAATACAAGACATTATCATCGCAGTATACACTTCTGAGTGCTTCAGATTACCAATAAAATTGATATTGGGTGCCATGGTGTAGCCTATTTGATTGTCACTACTACATAGATAAAACATAAATTTTTTCTTTTGTCTCAACTGAGGTGGAACAAATAAAAGAACGATCACTTTGCAAAACCTTCTTCAGGGTTTCCTCCAGCAAGAAACTACGATGAAAAGCAGAAATTGAAAACGCGGGAATAACGATAGTGATTACAATCTCTTGTGCTCTGATTGGTCACATAAGAAACGATGTCAGCGATCTCATTGGTGCAAAAACAACAAAGGGAAAGGAATGTTGTTCGAATGTGAGCAGCCGTTTGTGGGGAGAAGCGTTGCGTGACGAGACTAAAAACGGCTGCAAGGGAGACTTAACATTGACAAGTTGAAGACCAAAAAACTTTCACGGTAAGTGAGAGTGAGTTACTTTGATATGAAGTAGACTGCAACTAGAATGGGCAGTGTGTTATTACTTTGAGAGGAAGCCGATTTTCGGAAAGATCTCCGTAGAACCCCATACCAATCAAAAACAAAGCCATAGTCCCAAAGGAAATCTGTTGTTTTGCCTCTGCTTTCCTTTATCCAAGAATTGAATGCATAATGAAGTAATAATACGGGGTTCTAAGGAAATCTTGCCCAATTTTCTTTTTGTCGTCCGGTAGTAACACCTCTTTGAAAGATCCCTAAGGGCTGGTTTTAGTCCACGATTCACACCAAGTTATACCTCACCCTCCTTGGTCATGCGTTTCATCTTCGATGGTTCAGTTCAAAAACAGAGTAAAACGGAATTATTGAACACGAGTAATGGTAGACGGAAACGATCTGCTGACTGTACCTATACTCGCACCCCCATTGTTTATCTGATTTTAATGTTATTGCCTTGCTTTATTACAATTTAACCTTTAGAAGAATGACAGAAAACAAACCGAAGCTATACTGTGCCTGGTTCTGTCCATTTGCACACAGAGCATGGATCTCAATGTTAGCGAAGGGAATTGATTTTGATTACATAGAGCAGGATCCTTACAACAAGTCTGCCGAGTGGCTGGCTATAAACCCACGTGGATTAATACCATGTATCGTGCATAATGGCGAGTCAATCTACGAGAGCCATATTTGCATTGAATATGTTGATGAAGCCTGGCCTCATGCACCAAGGCTACTGTCTAAGGATCCTTATCAGAGGGCTAAGGCACGAATGTGGGGAGATTTTATCATCAAGAAGCTTATCCCACCATATTACCGATTCCTTATTAAGCAGTCTCAAGAAGAGCAAAATGAGTACAAAGAAATATTTCTAACAAATATATTAGAATTTTCCCAGGCAATGGATCAGGCAGGCCCTTTTTTTCAAGGAAAGGAACTTGGATATGTTGACATTATGTTTGCTCCTTGGGCTTCAAGGATGTACATTCTGGAACATTATCGTGGCTTTCAAATTCCTCAGACAGAAGAATACATTAGATATCATGTATGGGCAAAAGCAGTGATAAATCACCCTTCAGTAAAAGCAGTTCTACAGAATAAAGATAAGGTTTTGGCAAATGCTAGGCCTTATGCTGAGGGTAATGCTAAGTCTGAGCTTGCAGATGCTGTTCGCAATGGTTCAACAATTCCCTAGAAACCCATTTATGGGAGGATGTTTTCTTGGTTGGGTGCTGATCTGTCAGAGAAAATAGTTTAATTTTGGACAGAGTAAAATAAAATGGGCAGGGCGTAAGACCAACCGGAATGGGTTTAAAAGAAACTTCTTGTTACCATGATCAGTCATTTTATGTCTGAAAAAACTGTGCCATTCCTATAATCTTGGCTGTTAGCTTTAAATTTGTGTGTCATACCTACATCTAAGAATTGCTTTTTGATGCATAGGCCACTTATTTTTAGTAACTTTAAATAAGAATTATGTAGAGTGACAAATTCATTTTGATGTAAGGTCATCATTCTGAGTATTAGATATCTGATAAAGGGCAAGTTGGTTCCTTTTTTTCTACTTTTTCAAGACTTGTGTATCCTGTGTTACACTGCAACAATTTTTATTCAAGGATATTTTCTAACCACTCACTACAAAGCCAGAAAGTACTCTATAACATTAGGTATGATATTTGCTCTACATTTATTTGTGTTTGCCATATAAATAATTTTTGGCATATGTAAGGTCTAAATTTTAATCTTTGGAAATGTGAAGTATCATGAGAGTGAGAAGTTGGGATTTAATACAGCCTGTTTTATCTCGGCTATGGTCAGTACAAAAAATGGGGCAAGCTCTCTAGTTCTAAAATAGTATTATCATTGGCTGAAATAAGTTAAATTACAAACTGAATCAACCATCTGTCAGGGCATTTAAGTTAGCAACGTGTTCCAAAATTTGAAGTTCTACATAGAGAAATCCAGTTAATCTGCATCCTTGGAATAATTTGAAACCACAATTAACTTTAATTTTTGACAAAATCTGCCATCTGTAGACACTTTTGGGTTAATTTCTTTCACCTGCCAACCTATTCATACCTATTCAATTGCTATTCCTGGATGAAATTATGTACATTGTTTGGGTGCATCTACTATAGCTATGCTAAAGTACATGGACTTGACTGGCAAACAGAAAAGCAGGCTGTTTCGGCAGCACCTAAACAATCTTATTAGGAAAGAGCAGTACTACGTTCGTTCCCCACCATGACTTACAAAAACACCACAAGTATTCGAGAAAGTCAAAGTTCAAAGTGCATTTTTTCAGTCACACTATGATCAAAACCATCCAACACATAGAGTCAAGAATAAGAGAAATAAAAAAAAGATAAATAATCAAACAGTCTCGCAAAGATTCAGGTCTGTGTGATGTTTTGTACTAGATCATCTGAGGGGGAGTAATATGGAGGCTGCAAGCTAATAAAAACGTATCGAGTTTTGCTACAAAAAGCATTTGGTTATCATCTGACGGCTCCTAAACATCTCTATGACATCTTATTCTCATGAAAGGACTGTTCAGCTTGCAAAATCTCACCACTGATGTGGGGGAATAACCTGATTCAAGTACTCATCAGAGTCACCTGACCTGTTGGTGACTTCTACTTGTGTCAATTAACAACTGTATGTGGAAGGTTTCATCTACATAACAATGCTAGTTAATTAAAACTACTTTGATACATCAATGTAACAAGACTTGGGTTCTTTAAATTCTAGCTGCTGTTTACTATCAAAGTGAAATGAGAAGATTAAGGCATTGTCTTTCCCTGTCTAATGGCATCAGCAACTTGAGATGTGGCACTAGCATCTGCATATCGTTGGTAAGAATCTAAAAGTTTGCTTTCATCTTGCAATGTAGCCTTCACAGCTGAAGTACTCCTTACAGCTTCCCACCAAACACGAAATCTTTTGAACTTCTCACTTTTTGGAACTTCAAAGCAACGATAATGCTTGAGAATAAAGAACCTTGCTGCATGTGGAGCTAACATGATGTCAACATAACCCAACTTCTCACCTTGGAAGAAAGGCCCTTTAATGTCCATGGCTTTCACAAATTCAAGCAGGTGACTTATCAACTGAGATTTAATTTTCTCTTGCTCGGACTCATTCTGTTTCATAAGAAGAGCATAAAAGGAAGGAACAATTTTCTTGCCAATAAAATCTCCCCAAATTCTTGCATGAGCTCTGTAGTAGGGATCTGCTGGAAGCAATCTTGACTCAGTTAACCATGCCTCATCCACATACTCAATGCATACTGAACTTTCATAAATTGCTTTGTTTTTATGAACAATCACAGGCACCATTCCTCGAGGATTGATGGCCAGCCATTCAGGTGTTTTGTTGTAAGGGTCTTGTTCTATGTACTCAAACTCCACACCCTTTGCTACCAAAGCAATCCAAGCTCTTTGTGCAAAAGGGCAAAACCATGCAGAGTAAAGTTTTGGAACAGATGTTGAAGCCATAATCTGAACTACCAAAGGTTCTGAAAACAGATGTACAAAGTGTGTAAGCCTTATTAGTTAGTAAGTTGCGAGAGGTGGAAAGAGAAATGGATGCGGAATGGCTGTAAGGATATTCTTAGAAAAGTTATACTATAGCTTTGCACACTAAGTATGCTCATAAGGAGATAAGAAAAGTAACAGAAATCCTCTGATATCCTGAGACAATAGGCACCATGGTCGACCGTAATTGACTCATTTCCTTGCTTCCCCATTTTCACCCTTTTGACAAAAACACTGTAGTTATTTTCACCACACTACTAGTACTTTGTATTTGTATTTTATGGTAATCAGACATGACATGACACTTAGCATAATGACGCACTACCCACAAACAGCAGAGCTAGTCTCGGCGGGTAGTGTGTGGACGCTAAAACATCTAAAATAAAATTCGGCTCTACAAAAGATTCAATAAATATACAAGAAACAGAAATAAAATATTAAATCAATAAAGCACAAACGACAGTATGAGATAAAAATACAGAAACAGAAACACATGACAATAAATAGAAGAATACATAAGTTGTACACTACTATTAACTGGATTTAACTACCGACACATCATTGATTATTCGTTCAAATTATTCAGGTGATTTTCCCAAAGAAAAATTAATGCTGATCAGTATAATATTATTAAAAATTTTAGAGTATTCCTTTCAGCTCACCTTTCAGCTGTGTCGAAGAGCTTCAAGCGTAAGTCGTTCCCAGGGTTTCGCGGTCGGTTTTCACTTGACCGAAGCACCGAAACAATCTTATTAGGGACAGAGCAGTACTACGTTCGTTTCCCGCCACGACTTACAACATCATCACAAGTATCCGAGAAAGTCAAAGTTCAAAGTGCATTTTTTCAGTCACACTATGATCAAAACCATCCAAGATAGATAGATAGATAGATAGATAGCTAGATAGATAGATAGATAGATAGATAATAATCTTTAGACAGGGTGCGTTCTCACAGAAGTGGTTTTCAGAACGGCCCTGTATATCCCACCCATCCCACCCCAGGGGAGGACATCCATCACACAGTAATCTCGTGTGTGGGAAATTAACGTCTCCTACCCCANATCCGAGAAGACTAGAATATCTAACCATTTCTTGAGGTTATAGAAAGGCAGCAAATTCTTCTCAATTATTTTAAGACCCTGAGTGTTGGTCCGGCCGGGGCTCGAACCCTCGACCTCCCGCACAACAGTCCAGCGCTCTATCCATTGAGCTAACCGGGAGGCGGTTATAGTCAAGAATCTGAGAAATAAAAAGAAGATAAATAATCAAACAGTCTCGCAAAGATTCAGGTCTGTGTGATGTTTCGTACTAGACCCTCAGAGAAGCAGTAATATGGAGGCCCCAAGCTACTAAAAACGTATCATCATCGAGTTTTGCTCCAAAAAGCATTTGGTTATCATCTGAGGGCTCCTAAACATCTCTATGACAACTTATTCTCGTGAAAGGACTGTTCAGCTTGCGAAATCTTAGCAGACAAGTCACTTTTTTTAAACGTAGGTGACACCATTAAAGGCCGCCTGGTCACAATAAAGCTCAGAAATCAACCTTGCTTTATAACAAGATGAAAAACCCTTTCAACCTGAAAATTTGTAAAAATTTAATTCTTCAGCTGTTCTAATAACTTATTTAACTAGATCTCGAAAGGAGTGGTACTTCCTAATTTTAATGACGCAACGTGAATACCAAGAATTCATATCCACAATAACTACGGTACAGTCAAATGGCGAACGAAATGAACGTTTAACCCGTAAATCTCCAAGATGTGATCGTGAACACTCCCCTCTAGCTGCGACACATTTCCTTGCAACTTAGAAGAATTTGGTGTTAGATTAACATATCAACTATCTGATGAGTTTGCGGAATTAAGGACGTTAAGTTTCTAAAGAAACCGTGGTGCTGCATTTGAGGGGGGTAATAAGGTAATATCAACCAAGTTATAATTGTAAATTGGCCACCGTGAGTTAAAAAGCTGACATTTCGAGCGTCTAAGGGTTAACGCTCGAAACGTCCACTTTTAAACTCTTTTTACGGTGGCCAGGTTACAATTTCAACTTGTAGTTGATATTACCGAATTACCTTGTTTGCTGAAACGTCCAAGGATATTATTGAGAGAAGTTACATGTTCATCACTTCTGGGAGTCGAAGGGTTATTAAAGGTTGACCACTTAATATAGGTTCCACAGAATAGAAGTATTTTCAGAAATGAAAAATATTGCCATTTTCTGCCATAATTGAGAGGAACTTTGACAACTGAACGCTTAATACAGGGCCCAACTGCATTACTAAAAAAAAAGGCCGCTGTATCCTGGGAAAGTTCCACGCGTTAATTTAGCACATTGAAGTTCAGGTCACTCAATTCTACTCCTAAACCAATGGAAATGATTGGTTGATACTGGATTTTTGTGAAAAGTTACTACTTAGTCGCAAACACGTGTTAATAACTTATAAATGAATAAAGGCTGATGGTTTCGAAAGAAACTGTTTGGGGCCGCGTCGGTGAGAGTAACGAAATAATTTGGATATATGAACAAAATTGAAGTGGTAAATTGGCCACCGTAACGATTACAAACGCTGACGTTCCGAGCGTTAGCCCTTCGTCGGAGCGAATAGAGGAATTGTGGGTTGTGTGCTTTTAAAGGCAGAGAATGGAGCTACGTTATTGGTGGGAACATGGCAACGAGAAAAACAAGAATAAATTAGTGGAACGAAAAGCGTTCGTTGATCCCTGTGGGATTTAGACTGCTGGTTTGAAAGATACTTCAAAACGAACGCTTTTCATTCCACTAATTTATTCTTGTTTTTCTCGTCCATGTTCCCACCAATAACGTAGCTCCATTCTCTGCCTTTAAAAGCACACACAACCCACAATTCCTCTATTCACTCCTACGAAGGGTAACGCTCGAAACGCCAGCTTTTGTAATCGTTACGGTGGCCAATTTACCACTTCAACTTTGTTGATATATCCAAATTAATAATTTATAGCTTATACTCTCAAGAGGGTAAGTTTAAACACCCCTTAGCCACCCCCCTCAACTTTCTGGCCAGTAATTTGAAAGAGGGGTCCTATGTTTAAAGGTATTACACAAAAGCTGAATTTTACTAGTCACTTGCTGATGTCCTGGAAAAAAAAAACAACAAAAAACAACAACAACAACAACAACAACAGCAACAACCCCCATTTAACACAATCAGAAAGACTAAAAACAACAACAACAAAATCACAGTTGACTGAAATTTATTTGGGTCCTTGACTATGTGAAGGTGTAGTCTGATCCTTGACTATGTTAAAATCTACAGATAGATCCTTAACTTTAAAATACTTAGGGAGTAATTTTATCTAATGCATAGAGCTATCCTCTAAAAAAAAAAAAGCCATCTACAAAGCAACTGATTTGGAAAATAATCTTAAATCAGAATTGAACGTGTAAACATTCACTGCTCAGCTAGCTATCTTGCAAATTGAGGAAACAAGTTCCTTCTAAAGGCTCATCAGCCTGAATTTGTGGATCTCAAAAGGAAACAAATTGGAAAGTAAACAAAACCATCATTCAATAGAATTTTGAATAGGTTCAGCAGAATGTTACTTTGCTGCTGATTTCAAGACCACCCTGCAGTCTGCTGCCCTTGGCCCTGCCCAGAATTTGTGGCTTGTTGCTGGTAAGCTTGGTAGGATGGCTGAGAGTATGTAGTAGCTTGGTTGTACTGCTGCTGTTGCATGAGAGGCTGGGGAGGGTTTGAGTGGGAAGGAGGAGGACCTGGTGGTGGTGGAGGAGGTGCCTGGTGTGCATAAGAATTGCTGTAATTGTTGTATCCTCCTCCTCCCATCATATTGTGCTGCTGTGATCCCATATGGTTCCAGGAGCCATTCTGCTGTGAGTGACTCCTTCCTCCACGAGAGTCTTGACTTCTGTTGGAGTTGAATGATTTGTTAGCACTGGACATGTGACTGCCACCTCGGCCAGAGGATCCCCGGCCTCCACCTGAAAAGCTTGAATGTCCACCTGATCTGCCTCCACCACCACTTCTTGAATCACTGCGGGAATCCCCATAGTTGTTCCTGTTAAAGTGACCACTATTCCCCAGCCCAGATTTATCACGAAAACGGCTTCGTCCTGAAGAAAAACAATAGAAAACCAAAGGACACCTTTTGCCATAATGTAAAGTTCAAGGTGGTGCAAAAGAAGAGGAGGGAAAAAATGAGTGAAAGGTTTCCTTGCAAAATATTAAAAAAAAATAGGATAAGACACACATTAACACCCCAAAAGAGTTAACCAAACTTACACTACAACCAAAACACACCAAAAGAACCAGTTCCAGATCAAGCATGTTTTTTTTTTGTCAACATATTACAACCAAAACACACCAAAAGAACCAGTTCCAGATCAAGCATGTTTTTTTTTGTCAACATATTACCTTGTCCCTCTTTTAAGTCAACAACATGCCAGATACATGTGGAAACATTAAAGTAAAGGGGTAACATACAGTAACCTCACTTACCTTTGCCAAACATTCCCTTTGCTTGTTCTGCAAGTGCCATTAGCTTTGGGTTAACATGTTGGTTTGCTTCCTTTAAAATAGAAATTAAATCCTTGGCCTGCTTAGCATTTCCAACAGTGAAGAAAGTGTATGAAGTCCCAGTGCGATCAGACCTTGCTGTCCTTCCAATGCGATGCACATAATCTTCTGAGCAACTTGGGAAGTCAAAATTGATGACAAATTTGATGTCGGATATATCTAAGTGATGCAATGAATTGACATCTTGTCATAAAATGAACACTCAGATGAGCAAGTTAAAAGAGGGCATCAAAACCAAATGCCAGCTCCCTAATCCTAATTCTCAAAGGATATTGGAGACAGTTCTTCATACTCACATGCAGTAGATGGTTTGAAACCAAGGGAGACAATTGTGTAGTCTGATTGTCCAAGTAAGAGTAGTCCTGAAAAGAACTGTTGTTACTAGTGGTGACCAGCATTTTAACCTGAACTTAAGTCATCGCCAGAGTCAAGTTGAGTTTTGTTTGTCAAGTGAGAATCATACATTGTTTAAGACAATCACTTGAGCAGTTCTCCCGTGATGTGGTTGGCTCTAAGACTCCAGAAACTTGTGCCTGTTTTAATTGATCAGTTTTGATCTATAAAAAGTTAGGTTGCCCGATAAGTTTGTGTGTGAATGTCACGAGGAGGCATTTGCATGGTGTCATTAGTTGATAATAACAGATGTCAACTATAATCACTTGTCAACAACATCTGGCACCAAACAGATGACTTAATTGCTTATACCAGTCACTTCCATAAACATCAGCAATTTCATCGACTACTCTCACCCAAAAGATCAAACTAGACTCACATGGTTCACCATTCCCATTCCAATGCTAACACAGTTTCCACCAATTTAGAATGCAGTGTAGAAAAAAAAACAAAAAAACATACAATTTGACTACTAATTTGGTACTTCTCCAAACAAACTTGCCTGAACACTAGAGGTACTGTGTGTCTGCTCTGGGAGCCGGCATAAAAAAAAAATATTCACCAGGTTACACTTGAAGCAGGAACAAAACCATGACTCAGCGCGTCCAGATGATTGGGAGGGAAGGAACAGAAATGTGGTTTCTCTTTGACTCAATGAAAGCAAACCAGGCATATCTGCCTGCTACTTAAGGTAACAAAATGCAAACTTTGTGGGCCCTTAAGATTCAGCACTACATTGCAACACAACAGGGAAGATATAGGATAAGTTGCAACAGAATTCGTCAATTTACAATGTGCCTGCAAGTTTTTATAAACTTCTTTTTAGTCATGTTAACTTGTACATAGGAGACTTTCTGTATAACAAGACAGAAATTTTGATCTGCTGCACTGAACTTTTAAGTCAAAGCCCAGTGCTTTGTTAAAATTGACATCTTCACTAATGGTTTGGATGGAAAATAAATATGAAGCTGAAAGTAATTTGCCTTTAATATTTTAGCACTGGAGTTGTTTTCAAGGAAATAGTAAGTCAGAGCACTGGACTTTGACTTGAGAGCTTGAGGTTGTACAGATAGTACTGTTATGCAGCAAAAGCTGAATCTGCCAGGACCCACACATGTTTACACTACTGTGGAACCTAACTCCATCTGTACAACCATCAAACACAACTCCACTCTTTCATTTTTCTTTCACAAAATTTTATTGAAATTCAACCTTTCATCCTACTCTCAGGTTCATGGGAACCACAGATAAATGAGACCAGCACCCTTCAATCTAGATGGCAATAGTTATCAATAAATGCATTTGCCACCACGAGTTACTCAAAAGAGGCACTGTATTTTCCTGGAGGAAGACTAACTTTCACTGCAAACTAAAAAGTATCTGGAGTAATAAATGTTCTCCATATTATAAAAATTCTCTCTTGTCAGTTGTTTCTGTAACTTGGGCAATTTCCTGAAATGGAGGATATTTTCTAGCTGTAGTGCTTCTGACAGAGGCCCACAAGATTGCAATGTAAAATGTATTTTTACACTTTTTTATGGGAAAAAATCTGGTAGCTATGTAGGTTAACTAAACATCCTAAAAAAAAGAAGGAACTATTCAAACTGCTCCTTTCCCTCCAGCTCAGCTGACAAACCAAGGTCATGCACAGTTCCCTCCAATCAAGGAAAACAGTAACCACAGCAAGGATGATGAACCCTCAGATTAAAAAGAATAATCCTACTCTGGGATTAAAAAATAGAATGTAGAGTTAGTAAATGAGACAGTTCAAAACAACTGGCACAAACCACTACACTCCAGAAGATTCATTTTTGTCTTTTCACTGTAATAGAACTAGAGAGCTACTAGTATATAAGAAAAAAAAAGAAACCCAAAATGTTTGCTGTACTTGTTAACCAGTAAGAAAAACATGTACAAACCTAGTCCTCTGGAGGCAACATCAGTAGCAACCAGGATTGGGGCATTTCCTTTCCTGAACTCTGAAAATTAATAGAAAAGGAGGTTAAGCCCAAAAAGATTTATTTCTTTTGTATACACACTATTCAGCAAATACAACTCATTAACTGGTTCTGATGGGGCTGTCCTTGATAAACCCAAACCCAAACCCAGCTATTTCTAAATGTTTATTTTCATTTTAAGTTTTACATCAGGTCTAGGTAATAAATTATGTGGGTTAGAATGGATAGAGAGGTAATAAATTATGTGGATTAGAATGGATAGATATTCTAATCTTCTCAGATAAGGATGAATAAACCGTAGGCCCCGGTCTCCTGCAGGGTTATGTAGGAGATGTTAAGGTTCCTTCCTACCTTCAGAGGCCCAAAAAATGTTTTTTTTTTTTTTGGACTAGATTGAAGTGAGACATTTTAACTAAAAAGCATCCGACTTATTTAGCAAAATGTATTTTCAAATAATAGTTAATAAATCAGGAAGGTGTCACGGCAATTTCCTGTCATTTGCATATTTTGTTTACATCGCGCACACGACAAAATTCACTCATGGAAGTTAACTGCTCGTGGAAAGTCTTCTCATGGATAAAAACATAACTCAAAACTAGAAAGGAGTCCTTGGGTAAAGAAAAAGAAAAGAAAACAGGCCCAAAGAAAAGTGACCAGCTCGGTGCTCACTGAAGATTGGCAGCATTCGATTATTCTTGAGGCAAGCAGCTTAAAAATTAAAGTCAACACCACAGAAGGTTGTAAACAAGATTCTTTTTAGGAATCTGATGAAACCGATGGAGAAAAAGAAGAATGCGACAGATTTACCCTTTCTGCCGTGGGTTTTTCCTTCGCCAACTTTGTCCATTACTAAACGATCGACTAAGTGAGATAAAAAAAAAGTGACTGCTATGCGATACTTTTCCCGGGAAAATCTTGATTCATTGTCATTAAGGCTAGGAGGTCTCATCTTCTCATTGGTTTGTGGTTTCAGGGGGCGAGATAATCTCCTAGTGTGGCGCTAGTTGTTTAAAAACCTTAGGAGCAAAAATCTTGCAATTGATTTTGAGAGGAATACATCCACTTTGAGCAAATTTATAGGGTTTGTAGATTTGACCGATTTTCGTGAAATTTCGCTAACACCTTTCTGAGATGATGACGAACAAAAGTTTGTCAGGAAATCCATATTTGAAATATTTTTTGCGTGGTATCCATCTACGCAACACGCTTCACACATTTTTCACTACTCTAACTTTAGATGCGAATATCTAGACAACCAATCAGAATATCGGAAAAGCCTGACACGTTGGTTGGTTGATTGATGCCTTGTGAATGGGACTGTGCAGCCATTTTTCTCGTGCCGTGGGATCCGATACCCGATAAATTAAATAGAAGGACCCTCTGTCGTTTCACGCCTTACCGGCTCCTGACACTTCCTAAAAAAATCACCTAAATTATATTTTTATCATAAACTGCATTTAAGCTTTGTTTTGAGGTCTAGTTTGTTAGGGTTTTCTTCAAACTAGCATGTGTACAAATTTTTTCCCAAAGGACACCCGTGAAGGTAGGAAGTAACCTTAATTTCCCACACATGAGATTACTGTGTAGTTGATGTCCTCCCCTTGGGTGGGATGGGTGGGAATTGACCCTGAAAAGCCCCTATGGGGAGTGGTTAAGTAACGTATGTATGTACGTGTATGTATGTATGTATGTCTGTCTGTACCTCTTAATGCAGCATTCTTAACTTTTTAATTCTATGATAAAATTTGGTCTAGTCAGCCTTTGTGCCTAAGCAGCCACTGGGCAAATAGTTTCCAAAAAATAAAAACCACAAGGAGTGTTCCTTCTCTCCCTAAATGGAAGCACATCAATTACAGACTACCCCCAGTAATCCATCAAGTTTCCCTAACAGTTTGCCAGTACCTATTAAAGAAAGACACTGCAGGAGTTAAGTGTCTCACTTGAGAACACACCTCATTCACTTAATCAAGGCTTAAACCCACACATACCATTTAATACCCAATCTCTTTCAGGCTGTGATTTGTCTCCATGAATGGACATTGCTGGCCATCTAAATTGAGGGAAGTAAACAGATAATTATTGGACAACAAGAACTTGCAAGACTAAAATGCATCTGACCACACATTAACAGAGAGCATCAGTAACGAGGAATTCATAATGGTCAACATGAAAATTCAGGAATGAAATGCTAATTCATCAGCTGCTCTATCCATCAGGTAACACCTGCAAAATGTGTTTAGTAAAAAGCAACACAAACCCATCTCTGCGCATCCTTCTTGTTAGTTCATCTGCTCTTCTTTTTGTCTCAGTAAAAATGAGGGACTACAATAAAATAACAGATCCAACGTGACACAATAGAACCCAAAGATAAATTTTTAAACCACGCAACCAATAAAAACTACATGACTCCATTACCTTGTTTTCAGACTCTCCCATTATTTCTTCCAAAAGCTTGATCAACCTTACAAAAATAACACATTGTGTTTGCTAGTCACTTTACAGTTGAACTTCCACTCTTGACTTTATACCATTGGAAACATTTTAAGGGGTACTGGTGACTCAAAACCCATTCTGTAAGTACTAGGCCCAGATAAAAACTATAATATCAACACTTAAAAAAAAGAAATTTCAAAAACCATGTGCAAGATGGAAATAATTCCATCTGCAGGTAATTGCAACTTACTACACAAAGACAATGACCTTTTAACTTACTTGTAGTCTTTTTCAGTTTCATCACACACATCCACAATCTGTAAGATTTTGTGGTTAGCAGTGAGCCCCACTGAGCCAACTGTGATTTTCACACAGTCACGCAAGAAATCAGCTGCCAGCCCTTGCACTTCCTTGGGCCATGTAGCACTCCACATGAGTGTCTGTCTGTCTGGTCTTGTTTGTTCAACAATTGTTCTAATCTGTGGTTCAAAGCCCATATCAAGCATCCTGTCTGCTTCATCAAGCACCAAAAATGTGCAGCGTCGCAGGTTTGTTTTGCCAGCTTCCAACATGTCAATCAGTCTTCCTGGCGTGGCAATACATATCTCCACCCCTAAAACCAGGAATAGTAGAAGTCACATAAATGAAAGTTTCCCAATGATGTCTCCAGTAAACACAAATCTACTGGTAGAACACGAGGAACGAGGAAGTAAGGTTGTTATTCACTGCCAACAGTGTTAGGTACCCTACACAGCAGGTACAAGTTTTGACCATAGCACTCCAGGTTCATAGCAGCATAAGAATGACAACCCGCCATTTGGGACACTAAAAACAATTACACCTCTTAATTCTTCACCAAGTTAGTAACATTACAAAGAAAGATTTGGGAAATTAAGTTTATTTAAGGCTCCTGAATGAAAAGTATTTACCCAGACTAACTTCCCAGCAAGCAAATCCTAAATTCAGGAGTTGAATTTTCAATCTAAACCAAATTAACTTTGGTCACTTCTGCAGTTAAATACTTTTCAAAACACAGCCACTGAAAACAAATTTCTAAAGCACCAGAGTCTTCTGAGTGGTGCAAATTGTGTTATGGCTACCTTACCTTTTTCAAGCTCACGAATTTGGGGTCCCCTAGGTGCCCCACCATAGATGCACACACTTTTGACATTAGTATTCCGACCATATTGGAAAGCCACAGTTTGCACTTGCTGTGCCAATTCTCTTGTGGGACAAAGTACAAGAGCCTAAAACCAAATAAAATTACCATTTTCATTCAGCCCAGAGGGGTGTTTTAGCAGAGAAACACTAAGACTAACTAAGAGTACTCAAAGAAGGAAGCTCAATTGGTTGAGCACCAGACTTGTGCGGGAGGTCGAGGGTTCAAGCCCCAGCTGGACCAACACTCAAAGTCTTAAAATAACTGAGGAGAATGTGCTACTTTTCTATAAYATCAAGAAATGGATAGACATTCTAGTCTTCTCGGATAAGGACGAATAAACCGTAGGTCCCGTCTCCTGCATCTATTAATTAGTTAATTTGGTTAGGTAGGGGATGTTAAAGAACCCACTCACAAGATTACTGTGATGTGGTCTGGCCTGTTTACTGGGAATTGGGGGGAGGGGGCATCTGTTAGATTTGTCTTTCATTGATTGTGAACTGCTTAGCAGTCTGGTAAAGTCGCCCGCACAGTGTTGCAAAGCGTCATGAGCCCACGATATGAACGCTATATAAATAAAAGTTATTATTATTATTACTATCAAGTCTTGTCAGTTCAAATTGCACTGACTTTCCTGTTTTCTTTCTAAATTAAGCCTCCAATACTTAACTTAAGTCACCATGGTGCCTAAAATGGCTTCAAGTATAAAGACAACAATACAACTTTAGGTCACACAAATCAGTTTTTTCTCTACTTCTGTCAATACTTCTAAAGTAAGTTCCTGGTCACGATTAATCTTAGCTTCCAAGAAAGAGCCTCTATATCATTAAGCAAGCAATCTTACCACTGGACCTTCTCCACGCTGGACAAGAGGTTGGTGCTTGATATGAACTATTGCTGGTAAAATGAACTAAGGAAGGCAGACAACAGTGTATTGTAGTTAACCAATAAAATGAAACATCAAGTAAAAAACAATGGTCACAATTATATAGCAGTTCTTGCATTACAAAAATCAGTGCAACTTACAGAAATAGTTTTCCCTGATCCAGTTTGTGCAATTCCAACAAGGTCCCTTCCACTAAGTGCAACTGGCCAGCCCTAATAGAAAGCAAAAAATACATAAGAAAACTAAAGAATAATTGTGGCCTAAGATGGTATCCAACACCTTAGGCACAGATTTCCGAGTAAGGACCTCCCCACTGATGAATGAAATGTGGGACTGATCTTGTAGAATGGAGCATCACACATGTGGAGCATGCACACTGGATATCACAACATGCACCTGCATGTAATGAAGAACGCAGCTGGATTTTAGCACTTTTGGAAGAGAATTAATAATTAAATCATGAAATACAGATTCCCACATAGAGATACAGATACAAATAGGACTTTTGCAGCCAGAGGTCACGTGCTTGACAACACAAAACTGGAGAGCAAGCCCTCCAGTAAACAAACTCTCGCAAGAGGTCAAGCAGATCTGGCTTTAGACAATAGTTTTCTGTTCATCACACTCAATCCTTTTGAAATATCTACAAAAACTGCAAGATATTTACCAAATCTCTCATTCAGACTAGACTTTTGAATAGAAAGCATGATATTTTTCTCGAAATCGTAAAAAAACTGTCACTAACAACCTGCTTGACAGCTAAGAAACAGGGCGACTTCGCAAGGTATGTACTTAAAAAAAATATACTTTTTTCTGCCTTTTTTTAGTTATTTGACTTTGAAAGACTATGAAAATAAAATATTAGATCAAAAATGACAACCAAGTGGAGTTTTACGGCATTTTACGCCCGATTTCTTAAGATATTATGAGAGTAATTATGTGTTTGCTGCAGCCTTTTGCTGCACAAATGACATTGTTATGCTTCCGGTGAAAGAGTAGACCAGGTTCAAGAAATATGCTTCTGGAAAATGAGTTGTTTATGTTTTGTGTGCGATTTAAGCTTGGTTTAATCGAGCAGGACTTAGCACATAGGTTTCAGATACACAGATCATCAGTTTGCAGAAAAGTGATCACATGGACTAATTTTTCGCATTTTTTCCTTGGTAGCCAAGTGATCTGGCCATCAAGGGAAGATGTCAATAGCTATATGCCAGAAGGTTTCAAAAGGCTTTATGCAAGCACGCGTGTTATAGTAGATTGTACTGAGATTTTTGTCCAAACACCTACCTCACTGCTACTTCAGTCACAGCTTCATTCTACATATAAAAATACTACTACACTAAAAGGTTTAATAGGTATTACCCCTTATGGAGTTATTAGTTTTGTTTCTAGCCTCTACACTGGAGGGATAAGTGATAAGGGAATCACAAGGTGCAGTGGAACTCTAGATTTGTTAGAGGCTGAGGACTCGGTCATGGCTGACAAAGGGTTTGACATTGAAGATTTGCTGAGGGAGAAGGGGGTGGAGCTAAATATCCCTCCGTTTCTAGAAAGTCTGGAACAATTCTCTGCCCAGGATGTTCAGAAAACGATGACAATAGCAAGTTTGAGAATACATGTTGACAGAGCAATAAGGAGGGTCAAAGGATACCACTTTTTTTATTCTGATGACCCATCCTCTACACTGGGTTCAGTCAATTAGTCATAGACTATAGCCTGCCTTCTTACAAATTTCCAGGGCCCACTAACCTTATCTAATAGTAACAATGAGCTATAGTGAAGTTATTGTGTTATTTATATTTTATTGGGAATGTTTCTACTTTACCTAAAGAAAAAAATAATGGTCAATGAACTGAGTGGAGTGCAACTTGATCTGATATCAAACACAAGAGAACAAATTAAATCACATGATGGCATAGTAGGAGTGTGATATGAAATCAAACGTTTCATGTGAGACCGAAATTGTACGACACTGAACATTTTCTGGATTTATGTAAATGAAGCTCCATTTTGTTCACTTTAGAGAGTAGTAGCAATGTCAAACATAGGAAATAAAATATTTCATTTTGTGTACATTATTTGCTCTAATCTGAGTGGCAAACTGTATAAAATCCTGCAATATGATTGGTCTTCTAAATGTAGTGTTGAATTTTGTTACAAACAGGTGCGATTCAGACTGAAAACAGTGGGATTCGTGATCGAATCATACAATTTGAACCTAACAAATTACAGGATTTGATGGTGATTTTAAAATGGATATAATAAATTGGAATATCTGGAAAGTATAAAGTACAGAGCAACCTGAGTTTTGTTTGAGAAGTCAATATTCATCATGTATGACGGAAGGGTGCAGTAAAAATCAGTGTGATCAAAAATATGTAAAAAAAAAATCCATAGGGAAACAGGAACATTTTTATATTAAAAATGGGAGTTCCAAAGTTTTAAGCCTTTCTTGGTGTAGGGGTTTCAATCCTTGAAGATGATAAACGATGATCAGCTAATTTGTTGTTGATTAAAATTTAATTAAGCTGCCCTATTTCCTCTGCCATACATTGTGAACACAGTCTTAATGTAAAAAGTAATTGAAGAAAAAACTATCCACTTTGTCCTTAGCTTCCTGGAAGAACACAGGATCAAAATTAATTCTAGAGCAAAAAAAACAAATTGTCATCAATGTAACTAAAAAAAAAAATCCCACCATTCCAATCCTATGAGTCCAAGCTGGTACTGAATCTGGTAGTAATGAATGTCTGTTGTCTTCAGTTTGTACTGGTTAGTGTTCTGGTCTTTAGTTAGATATGTGACATTGTCAGATGAAGTTTCACTTTCTTTGACAACTTTTAAGCCAAATGGATTCTGACCATTATTTACTGCACCAAGATCCTAAACTTTTCCGTCTGGACTACAACAAAGCCATGCACATTTGGTCATCCTTTGCCCGGCCAGGTAAGCGGTGTAACTTTAATTCAGGATGATGTCTAGAATCCCAGTTACACAAGGGAACACAACAATGGTACGAAGATTTCTTCTTCGGGCCTGATGGCTCGTCGGTAGTTTAGAAATCTACAGTGAATTTTAGCATTCTTTTTAGTCTCAATGTAAGATGCATAATTACTCTCATAACTACTCTCATAATATCGTAAGAAATCGGGCATAAAATGCCATAACATTCCACTCGATTGCTATTTTCGATCTAATATTTTATTTTCATAGACTTTTAGAAGTCCAATAACTGAAAAAAAGCAGAAAAAAGTATATTTTTTGAAGTACATACCTTGGGAAGCCGCCATGTTTCTTAGCCGTCAAGTGGGTTGCTGGTGAGTTTTTTCACGATTTCGAGAAAAACATCGTGCTTTCCATCCAAAAATCGAGTCCGAACAAGAGATTTAGTAAATATCTTACAGTTTTTGTAGATATTTCAAAAGGATTGAGCATAATGAACAGAAAACTATTGTCTAAAGCCAGATATGCTTGACCTATTACTAGAGTTTGTTTACTGGATAGCTTGCTCTCCAGTTTTGTGTTGCTATGCAGTATCCAAGCACGTGACCTCTAACTGCAAAGGACCTATTCCCACAACAATTACTTCTACTGGAAAGAGCACACACACGTGCATGTATTGAATGCCAAAAACAAATAAAAATGCATGCATTTGTGTGAAAACATTACGTGTGTGTAACTTTAACTGCATGTGTGTAACCACACAGAGAAGGCAATTGAATAAAGGGGATAAGTTTCTAAAGAAACTAAGTTGCTGTATCAGTGGGGGTAACAGGGTAATTTGGTTTTATCAACTAAGTTGAAATTGTAAATGGGCCACTGTAAAGAATTAAAAAGCTGACATTTCAAGCAAATCCATTTGCTCTGAGGGGGGCTAACGCTTGGAATGTAGGCTTTTCAACTCTTTCCAATGACCAATTTACAATTTCAACTTAGTCAGTAAAACCAAATTACCTACAGACAAAAGGCATGTAGAATTCCTTAAATTTACAGGGGCTGAGTGTACATGGAGGTACTGGAGTGCACGTGGGTTGTATTGTATATACTTGTATATCTGGAAATACCTGGGCTTGAATTACTGTTGGTTCTTGAAATCCTTCACTTCTAATTGTATCCATGATATTATCTACAAAGAGCCTGTTGTTCATTTTATGGTTAGAAATCAGTTACCCTGATTCCTTAGGGAGGACTCCATTTTGTTCTTTGTCCTATGCTTGAGACAAATGAACCACATACTGCTATTTCTGAGGACCACACTAAGTAAAAACTGTCCAGAAAAGTTCTGAACCAAGCTTCTCAATTAGAAGAAAAAGTTATTTATTTCCAAAAACAAAACGTTACTCACACTGAGGGAGAAAATAATTTTTCTGAATAAAATGTTGCAAACACTAGTACTAATACCCTGAAAGCAACCATTTCTTTCATCATCATCATCATCTTTATTTGCCTTATTTTAACAATAAAAATATTTATTTAAAGTGATAACAGTGAGAAGGTGAGGAGAACCAAGAAGCCACCAGGCTTGTGGGAGAGCCACTTCACTTACAATAATAAGTCAAGTTAAGAAAAAGTGCTGTGAATGTGCAGCTTAGCCAATTCAGTGATTATTTGAGTAAAAACTCTTACATTTTCATCTTAAACCTCAGAGAGTTTGACAAACCAATCAAGGACACTTACTTGGATAACTAGCTTCTTCAAATGTTACCACTGGCTTGGGGACATTCCTTCCCTGAACAGTAAGTTGAGAACGTCTCCTGTATTCTTCAACTTCATGCTGAAATTACAAAATCAAAAAGTGATTTAATTCTGCTCTGTTAAAAATGTTTAATAAAGAATACCCAACAAAAGCAATCAGATTCAATAGCCCATCAGCGCAATTAACAAGACAGGGAGATTGTATATGTTAGGAGGTCTGCCATGTTTTTGCTTAGTAAACACTCCATGAATTTTCACAGATTCTTGAAAACATCTTGCCAACAAAGGTTTCAAAGAAAGTTTTGTAATATTCTTACCATGGATCTGTTTTGCACATTTGGATGTTCTCGGTAGAAATCTTTCTTAAATTTAGGCAGTGCATCAAGGTCCCACTTTGGTTTCCTAAGATGCTGTCCTGGACTGTTATTTAACTTATCTTTTTTGCCACCAAATACTCCGCCTCCACCCCCTCTGAATGATCCTCCACCAAAACCACCTCGGCCTCCTCCTCTACCACCAGCCCCACCACCTCCAAAGCTATAAGAATAAAAGAATAAATTTGGTTCATCTTCAACAAAAAACAAGATTAGAAAACAAAACCAAACAAATACTAACACTACTAACACAGTACTAAATACAAATACTACAGGTTTAGAAACGACAAATAGTCCCCCTTCCCTGAACAAGCATCAAAAGGTCCCTTTCCTTGAGTCCATTAACCTTTCAACACCGCCACACTTTCTTGAAGGTTTACATGATTAAATTCAACGATACTGTAAAATTTTGAAGTTAGCAGACAGGCCAAAATAACCTAAAATTACGATATCCTGGCAAAAGCACGACTATTATTCACGCATCGAAAAACAAGATTCCTGTCGCTTTGAGAGAGGAAATCGCATGTGGCACTTTTCATAGGACAACTTCCATGTTACACAAATTCGCCTAGAAGTTCCATAATATGACCTGTAAAAGGGTCATTTAACCATTACAAAAGTACACCTCCGTAAGACAGACAAAATCGCCCTAAAGATTCAGCCAAGACAACAATGAATTAGAAACTACAAAGCAATGGTCGGAATGGCGCACTCTGATCTAAGACAGTTTACCTTACCTTTTTCGCTCTGAACGGCTCCCTGGATCAAAGCAGCGACCTCTGTCAAAGCGAGACATGATTTTTTGCTGCTTACGGGTTGTTGAGGCTTTCAAAGTCGAATAGGCGATCGAAAGAAAAACAGTAAGCTTCAAGAAGGTCGCCGGCAGAAAAGATGTCGGAGGAGGAAGCTGCAATGACGTACATATCCACGAGGTGTGCTGACACAATGTCCCTGATTGGTCAATATCTTATTACGTAATCGTTCCTTTCAGTGGACGTACGAGGCAGGGAGGGGTAGGACAGTTTCGAGGTTACATGTAAATATTGTGGGATAGCTTTGATGATTTCAAAATCGCACCGCCGTCCATAAATACGAGCAATTGCCGAATACAAGGTCACTGAGAAACGCGATGTTGGCCCTATTTGAATAACCAGGAATAACACAAGTTGCTTTCAAAATGTGGCCAAGCAAGCTGATGGCAACTGGGTTTCAAATGGAACTGAATGGAATCTCTAACTGAAAGGGATTTTTAACTAATGAAAATATCTCCAAGAATTAAGCAAGACTGCAGCTAATAATTATAAAACTGTACTGTGTTTATTTTGGACTCTCTTTCACTGGAAACATTGAAATAACCACTTTACCTCGACAAATTAAAGGATAGAATTTGCACTTACAAAATTTGATGCCAGTAACTGACTAGTAAAACTTGACGATATTATTAACAATAGATATTACAGCATTATCACCAAATGTAAGGGACCGAGTTTATACAACACAAAATAACATACAATAAGGCCTTAGAATTAAGAGTTGTATAAAATTAAAGTTACTCCTTTTTCCTAAAATAATAAACCATTGGCATTTATTTGTGTTTTTCATTAATAGCTACATTAATTAAGTGAAGTTTGATTTTTACTGTTAGCTTTGTAATTAACTACAAACAGTTCAACTCCCACTTTTCCACTAACAAACCCAAAGTTAGCAAGGAGGTACTAAACTAAACATAAGACTTAAAAAGAATAAATATTTGTTCTTAACTGGGCAAAGTTTAGTAATTAAAACCACAAAAAAAAACCTGCATATTGGCTGTCTAAAAGTATATACCAAACTACTAACTAGAAAGAAAGACATCTATCATCACAATTGTCTTCCTGTGTAAAGTGGTTCCAAAAAATTCTTCCAGTGCAAAGCTAGTCATAAGATTTCCTCAAATCATTACAAAACCAAACCAAGGAGATGAAAAACCATTCTTACCTTTTTCCAAATCCACAAACATATCTTCCCATCTACTGTAACTTGGAATTGGTTTGTCCTCCATCTCAGGGTGGGAGAATATTAGATTAAGATAGTGTGTGTATTTAATCACATCGTTATATGTTAATATCACGCAAAAAAGTGGGAATCAAGCCAAATGGGTTTCATCAAAGAGAAATAATACCTAAAGCAGAATTTAAAGAATCACTAAAAATTAGTGTCAATGGCTTGGGAACATTTGTGAAAATGATTGGCATCATATTGCAAATTTAAGAAAAATAATGACCAAGAATCTTTTGTTCAGTATTTTCAACATAAAAAACCACAGTTCCTCAAAACATCAACCAAAATGTACAGTGCTTATTCAATTTTAAGAATTGAAATAATGTTATTAGGGAGAAAAAATCAAACCTACTGCGATTGATTTATTTGTTTAAATGTACTTAGATTCATTCCAAATGCTTCTTTTTTGAAGTTTGGTGTGATTGATTGTAAGAGACTGACATTATCCCTCAGAACAATGCAATTGAGAAAAAATAGACACTTGGTTTCAATTAGACAGCCTCAGAATTCTAAAATTTCTGAAGGAATCTCAAAGATGATCTGACAGAACTTCTCTCTTCTCCCACTGGTTTGGGCTTTTATACCTCACTCATTCTAAATAAAAATTAGTCAAGGCTTTTAAAGTATACATGCTATTTTGTTAAGTTCCAGAAACTGGCTTTGATAACATTTTTAATGGATAGACATGAGAACCTGAAACTTGGCAGATTTGATTATCTTGACATATTTATCCAACATGTACCTTTCTGTTACAAAAAGTCATTTTCATCTTCCCAGCTAATCTATGTAACATACCACTTTACTAAAGGACTCGGGCAGTCAGAGGGCCAATAACTAAAATCAAACAATCAAAATGCTCTATTGCCGGTCAATATTCTGTCAGTATTGGACTGGGCACTGTCCCGAATGGTCCCAAATGATATTGCACTTGTGTCCCTTTAAACTTCAGTCGTATGATATATCTCTTTTTAACCAAGCTTGCTCGGGACCGTACTGGAAGAATATCGGGCCTCGGTCTTTTTTGAATGGACCTTGCTGTGCTCGGTCCATACTGTCAAGACCTCGGACCGATATTCTCCAAGTACGGCCCTCGTGCTTGGTTAATAAGATATAAGTAGTATTTAATAAAAAAAAATTATTAAAAGGAAGTATTTCTTAAACTCCTCCACATAATTACTGAACCAAGCTCTCCTATTCTACTCTGACCAGTCAACAACTGTTACATTCTCTCTTTACTATAAACTTGACTGTTCCAGTTCTTGCAATATGGGTGTTATCCAACTTTGAGTGTCAAAACTGCTATCTGTACCATTTCCTTTTAAGAAATCATACTCCTGGTCAAGGTAAACGAGAAAAGAGATTTTGAGTACAAATACACAACATTATCAGTCAATTTATCACAAATAATTCAGAAAACAATAACTAGAGTGGAACGCTATAACAAGATAGAGACCTGGACTCTACATATGATTTGCCCGATAGGAGCCCAGTGCGAGCCATTCGTACCACATCGTTATTAGAGACCTTAAGATTTGAGGATGTCACCTGTCTAGGATGCCACTGGAAGGTCATTTTCACCTAAAAATGACATTGCGCTTGTCTCTGTGTGAATGAGATGGCATTTCACATGTGGTGAGTGCGCCATTTTTAAAATTTCGCGTCATGCACAAAACGCAAGTATGTGTTTGGCTTTGGAGCTCAAATTATTCATTTCTTTTGCCGTTTTTGCTGTTCTTTTGTATAACCTGTTGTTAGCAGTGCTTGTTTTTGCATAGACAGACGATGGATTCCAGTTCCAAGTAAGTAATAATAATAACAATAATAATAATTTTATTATTTCTATAGCACAAAATTCATTAGATATATGATCTAATGCGCTTTACAAGTTGAAAAGGAAAACTGACTATGAAAATATTATGAATATATCAACAAAGTTGAAATGGTATATTGGCCACCGTTATGATTATAAAAGCTGACGTTTCGAAAATATTATTTACAATTAATGATATTATTATTACATTTGATATAGTACTTAATATAACACTATATACTAGATAAAATTGACAGATGTGGCTAACTAACTATGTAATATAATAATAAATTGTCAGATAGATAAAAACTGTAAAATATCTAAAAATATTCTTCCCTAAAAAGATGTGTCTTTAATTGTTTCTTGAATAAAGTAATACTGCCAATATTCCTAAGACCGGGTGGCAATGCATTCCACAAGACTGGAGCAGCAACCACAAAGACTCTGTCTCCAGTCGTCTTGGCTGATTTGATTTTGGGCCTTGCAAGAGTGTGGTTACCAATAGACCTAAGGTTATGACTAGACTGTTTAGGAGATAATAGACTAGTAAAGTATACAGGTGCAAGACCATGTACAGCTTTAAAGGTAAATAAAATAACTTTAAAAAATAATTATTCTAACTTTTACAGGCAGCCAAAGGAGGTCTGCCATGACAGGTGTGATATGCGCGCAGCATGGTGTGTTTGTGAGAAGTCTCGCGGCTGCGTTTTGCACGCGTTGTAGTTTATTCGTGTAGATAGCTGGTATACCATATAGGACTGAATTGCAATAATCCAGGCAGCTGATGACTAATGCATGAACTATCATCTTTGCAGCTTCAAATGATAAAAGTTTATGTATATGTCTTAGATTATAGATATAGTGAAACGCTGACTGGCATGTCTTGTTAATGTGTGTTTGAAATTAAAACTTAGAGTCAAACCAAACTCCGAGATTTCTAGCTTCGCTTACAGATGACACAGCAGTATTGGCAACTAAGAGACTATCAGTTTGTACTTTGGAGAGCTGTTGGCGGGTCCCAATTAACATGAGTTAATTGGTAGACTCCAAATGTTTTCCTTATTAATAGAATAGAAGAATTTATCATGTTGAGCATCAATTTATCAAGTCATGTGAAAGGTTGGCTGATGTAAGTAGAGTGTAGTTATAATCAGAAGTCAAACTCGCAGTTTCTACAGCGAGCCTAATCAAAAGTTTTCGAGCGCTGCAATTGAAGTCTCTATAAATTGTCCTCCTGTTTGCCATGTTTTACCGATTTATTCATGAACTGGTAATTTACTGGTTACTCTTATGCCGTTTCCACGGCTTGAGAATAGATATATCAAAGATGCTTGTTTTCTCAGCTTACCTTCAAAGTGATTTGAGTCTCACGTAATTAAGACTGTCATATTTATTACCCATGCAAGTTTCATCACACTACAAAGAATACTCATTTCGAAGGCCTCCATTACATTAATTTTTTTTATACTTTTTTAGAGACCAGCTAAGTTCTGGATTTTAATTATATTTCGTCAGGTAAGCCAAGAACATCAACCAAGAGAGGGATGTCGTATTTTTTTAAGCGAAAATCTGTCTTACACTCAGCCTCACTTTTATCTTGCAATGTACATCTTTCATAATTCCAATAACGATACTGTGGGTTTTTCGACTTGTTAACATCATACAACAACAGAAATTCATCCTCATTAATGATTTCCTCACAAAAACTTAAAAGAAGTTCTTCCCGCGCTTTCTTGAAGGAGGCTATTCTCGACCAGGGGCTGGAAATAGTTCATGTCCTGTTTACCTTTTCTTAAGTCTAAATTTCCACGCAAAGAACGGCGTTCTCGCCCCAGGCCTTTATATGCCGTGAAGTCCTAGAAGAAGACGCCATCCTCAAATCTTAAGGTCCGTATTGTTACATGTTCTTGTTATTCTGTAGCGAGAATGCTCATCTCTATTAAATGAACGTCATGGTAAAATGGATGAATTCCTATCTAATAACTACAGATATCAATTTTGCTAAAAAAAAAAATTATAAGAAAAAATTGCTAAATGACTTATCCATAGTATGTGAGCTCTC